ACTACTTTTTTTATATAAACTTTAAAGTGTAACGTGGCTTTTAAAAAGCTAAAGTCTACGCTACTAAGTATACCTACGCTTTACTATTTTAACTTTATGTTATAAACTAAAATTAAAACTAATGCTTTTAATAGAGTAGTAGTAGAAGTCTTTTCTTAAAAATAAGTAAATAAAAATTAGTGCCTAGTATTATTTTATAGTAAGGTTTTATTTAGTTTAGAGCTAAACTAGAAGATATATAATAAAAAGCTATTTATAATTATTACTATGTTTAAATAATAAAGGGCTAAGCTTACATTTATAGCAATAAGCACTTTAGTATATACTAATTATTATTTATTAAAGTACTTTATAATAATAAAGGTGCTAAATGCTTGTTAGGTCTGTTAAGCTAAAAAGTTAGCTTAGTATTACTTTTAAATTAAGTACACCCTTAGTAAGAATAACACTAGAGCAGACATTTTTAGTTATTATAAACAAGACATAGAAAATTTAAAAGTAGCTTAAACTAATAATAAGTTAAAAGTCTTACTAGAACTATACTAACTACACTCTTAAATTAACTCTAAACTAGCCTAGTACTATATTGCTTAAACAACAACTTAAGCAGCTACACTAAACATTATAAAAAAACTAGACTAGGTTATGTCTCTAAATTTTTTAAAATTAATTAATATATTACTTTAAAAAAATTAAGCTTTTTTTATGTAAAAGTAAAAACTTCTACTCTGCTATTATTAAATAGAAAATAGACTACTCTTCTATGCTAACTACCTATGTGTGCTAGTAGACTTATTACTGTGTACTTAACTTATCTAAGAAGTCTATAACTAAGTATCTTTAGCACATTCTAGTGCTACTAAGACTTATTAGTTACTAGCCTAAAAGTACTACTAAAAAAGTATAAAGGCTACTTATAAATAATATATACAGAATTACCTCTTTTATTATAAGGCTTATCTAAAATAGACTTAAACTCTAGGCTTTATCTACCCCCTACTAATTCCTACTTAACTAATATAGCACTTGTGCATTAATTTTAAGGAGTTTTTTAAAGACAAGTCTAGATATAATTAAATTATAGTTATAATTAATTACTTATTAAAATAAGCTATTTTTATCTCCTACTATAAAATAATTAACGCCTAGAAAATAGCTACTTTATTTATTTAATAAGTGTACTATTTTAGCTACACACCTAAAACTATTATTTTTAATTAAGAACCTTAGTTTATATCTAGTTTCTAGTTTAAATTTTATTAAATTTTAGGCATAAAAGTTAAGCTTTCTACTGCTTATTATAAGGAAATAGATAGCTAAATAAAGATTATAAATAAGTATATTAATTAAAGACTAAGGCTTTTTATATTTTTTTACTAAGACAACTAGAGTTCTTTACTGCCTTTAATTAATTAGGCTTAGATAACTTTACTCTATATAATAATTAAAATGTCTCTATATTAAGTCCTATACAGCTCTAAACTATATTAAAGCTAGGACTAGAAATATTCTATAGAACCTATTACAGCTATAGATAAGCTAAATTATAAAGATGCCTTAGCATTAGTAACCTGCATGCATGTAGCCTAAAAGTTAGCTAAGACTTATATAAAAAAGGCCTAGAATTAGATGTAAACTGTAGTTAACTACTACTACTAGCTAGTTAACTAAAAGGTTAGCAACATAGTTTACCTAGACACTAAGAACCTAGCTGTTTAAAAACCTAGCTAAAAACTATCTAAATAATAAAAAAGCTCTTTTAAGGTACTTAAATAAGTAGGAAACTTATACTACCTAAAGCTACTTTTAAAGTTAAAAATATATAACATCTTTGCACTAAATATGCTTTATAAAGACTCTTAGAATCTACTTCTAAAATAAGAACTTTTAAAACCCCCTAAAATTACTATTAATAGAGTAGAGAAGTAGGAAGTAAAGAAAATACTTGCTAGCAAGCTTTACTAGAAAACGCTTAAGTACTAAGTAAAATAAGTAAAACATAACTCTAATCTAGTTTAGTATAAGGCTTTAAATTTTATAGGTTCTTTTTATAAACTAAAGGCCTTTTATAATAAGCATTTAAATTAGCTAGAACCTTTAAAGGCCTTATAAAAGTAAATTAACACTTTTAAAGCTAGTATAAAAGGCATAGATTACTTAGCAGATAATAAAGTATAAAAGTAAGAAGTAAATTTATAGTTATACATAATAGTATTACAACTTTATAGACATTATGCTAGAGAGGTCTAACAGTAAGCTATTAGACACCTCTAGACTCTTCTTTTCCTCCTTCTCTGCCCTTCTTTCTCTTCTCCCTCCCCTCTAGACTTCTTCTAAACCCCCTTTACTTTATCCTTAGCTACCTAAAAGTGCTATAATGTCTGCTTAAAAGTTAAACACTAGAGCTTTTAGAGCTAAAACCTGTTAAAGCAGCTTAGTATTTTAGTAGAATAAGGCCACCTAAACACTAGCTACAGGAAGCCTAGCTTCCTAACTCTTTATAACCTACGCTACCTGCGCTAGGTTCTAAGTAGACTTTAAAATAGCCTTAAAGGCCCTCTTTTTATCCTTCTTACTCTCTGTGTTTTAGGCTGCTGCCTATAGCTTAAGATAGCCTTATAAAACTAAAAACTTCTTCTTATAATATAAAAGAACTTATGCGCGCATTAGTAACTTATAACCTAGTAGTATTAAACTATATTTATATAAAGTTGCATTTCTTATTACATAAAGTGTAATATTTACATTTTTTTAATTTAAAAAACTAATAAGAAAACTTAACTTAAAAGCTATAAGTAAGAGTGTAGGCAGCCTAAAAGCAGATAACTTAAAACACCTCTAAAAAGGCTTTAGAAGAGGGGTAGAGCAGTATAGTAAATTTCTTTAATACTATAATTAGTTAGTAGACTAAGCTATAAGATGTTAAGTGCATAATAATACTTATAAAGTAAAAATTTAAATAATAGCTAAAAAAGAAACTAACAACATTAACTAAACTATATAAGTAAGGTAAGTAAACACTTATTACTATAAATAATAAATTTACTATATTAATAATAACTACACTGCTAGTTACTACTAAATAAAAACATTATAATAAAGGCATTATATTAGTATTAGGTTTTTAGTCTATTTCTTAGTAATAAGAAATTTTAGTTAAAATAGTTATACTTATTATATTCTATCTAAATTAGTTTTAAAGCATTTTTAAATACTTTCTAAACACTGCAGATAGAGACTATTAGCTTATAAAAAGAGAAGTAGTGTAATAATTCTATAAATTATTCTATCTTAGGTTGCTTAGATCCTATCTAAAGGGTCCCTGTATCAGCCCTAACCATAACTTAACCTAGACCCCTGCTGTTACCCCTATTCCCTTATGTATTTAGTTGCACCTTGCCTCTGTAGCTAGCTTAGTAGTTTTCTAATATCCTACGTACAAGGCCTATAGGTGTCATTGGTATTCCCAGGTCTCTGAGTCCCCACGCACTCCCATATGCCTCTGAGTGGATTCATACCGCATTCGGACCCATTGTCTTGCCTGCGCCGTTACACAGAGCAGCTAGAGACAAGCTAAGAGCTAGAGCTAGTTGCACATAAGCAGGCTAGTTAGCTCTAACTCTTAGCTTGTTTCTAGCTACTCTAGTAGTTAAGTTGCATAAGGGAGGGTGATTAGGTATAATTACATAAGCTTTTAATTAGATCCCTCTAGGCAGCGTATAGAGGGAGGTTTAATTAAAAGTGCAAATGCATATAATAGTTTAAGCCCTAGGTAAGCTTTTATTTAAACAGTAAGCTGTTAGAGGCATGTTGTGATAGAGAAGTATGTTAGTAAAGTAGAGAAATTTTACCTAATAACTGCAGCTAAGACACACTAAAGCTTGTACCATTTTCTCTTAGACCCTCTGGAGTGATTCGTCGAGCGTGGCGCAGCAGCGCAAAGCCTCCTCGGCAATTGGTACTACCTATTGCCGACGCCCGGTGGATCCTCCAGAGGGTATGGCTCGTGAGATAAGCGCCAGTGCTGGCGATAGATCGATCCGAATCCACGCTATCCTAAATCTAGATTAGATTCTTAAATTAATTTATGGTCTTAGGTAAAAATTTGCTTTCTTATTAATAAAATAACTTTAAAAGTCTTATATAATAGAATTCTATAAATTAAGCTTAACCCTTGTAACCGCACAGGCAAGACAATGGGTCCGAATGCGGCAGGAATCTACTCAGAGGCATATGGGAGTGCGTGGGGACTTAATGACCTGGGAATTCTATTAACACCCATAGGCCTTGTACAAAGTGTCGCGTACACTGAGAGCCTTGGCTGGGGCTCGGAGCCTGGGACTGGGGCTCAGAGCCTGGGACGCAGCTCGGGATCTGGAGATATTATGTTCCGAAGCTCGGTGTATATAAGGAGAGCCTTCAGCTCTCTTAGATAGCAGAGTCACTTCATCCGATCTTCTGAACAGCTACTGCCAGGCTATTTTATCCTCCACACAAAGGATATTAGAATACTTAAAAAAGCTATATAAAGTTTATTTATATATAATTAATAGACCCTACTAAATAAAAAGCTAATTAAAAGAATTAGAGATTTTTTAAGTACTAGAAGACTTTTACACAATAACTATAGCCTAATAATTGTTAGGTAAGAGATAAGTTTTTCCGCTCTAGTGGCGATGCCAAGTCTGCTCGGTATACTAAAAAGAATTGGCTATGAAGGCGTTTATCGCGAGGATTCAAGGTCGCTACGAAATGCAGGTTGTTAAATGGAGGTGTGAGGTTGCATTAGCATATCTGCTAGCAGCAAAAAACCACCCTACAAATACTCGCGAATTACAATCTAGTTGGATGTGCGCCATAGCAGACTCTTAGGCGTGTCAACATTTCGGCGAAATGTTACGATCCACTGACTACTACACTTTAGTAGTTAGGATACCCTATAATAATCGTCACGAGAAAAGCAGGGAACTGTCTAATAAACCCCTCCTATCTAGTACTTCCTACTCCAGTAAGGTCCTCGTCCTCGACTGTTCTACCTTTTTTATCACAAATGCCCCAATGTTATCTCTATCTTCCTTGCTAAGCAATCCCAACCTCGCCTCATACTCATCCCCTTTACCATTCCCACCAAAAAACTTCCGATCTATGTACGTCCAAAAGATTGCATCGAAAGCCCACGACCTTCGTGCAGCATAATCGATCCAGAACTGCCCACCCTCCCAGTTCTCTCGCATACGATTCGACAGCACATTTTCCGCTTTGAGAGTGCCACGGCCCATAGCGGCCTGCTCCCGCTCACGGAGGACTCGGAGAAATGTATCAAGGCGAGGCTGATAAAGTTTGGACCAATCTTCGATTCCTCTGAACCAGTACTCAGGAGTCTCGAGAAGCAACCACCATGGTGGATTGTAGACAAACTCTGCTGGTGCAGCATACGTGAACTCCCAGTCTATGACGGAAAGGATTCGGCAATGTTTATCAACGAGGACATTGCCAGGTCGGAAGTCATCGCACCAGAGACGGAAAGGGCCTGTCTCAAACTCCGGATTGTGCAGTCGCTTCTCCGATGCAAGTTTCCTGAAAAGGTGGCGACCGATGTACTTCCGCCTACAGTCTTCAGGGGATTCAATAGCATCGTTGTGTTGCATGTCGAGGTGCATAGTTTTCATATCGGCGATTGCGGAGTAGAAGGCAGTCGAGGTGTCCAATGCTACAGAGATAAGTTCCGATCGTGGGCAATTCCCGAGCTGCACCAGCTCATTCATGTCGAAGGTCAACGGACGCTCAGTCACCGCCCAAACATCCGGTTCAGTTTCAATGGGTGCTCCAATTTTGTTGAAGGTGAGTGTGGAGAGCTGTAACATCATGTCGGCGATCTGCTCGTACACGAATACCAATTTCTCTTCTGCTATTCCTGGATGAAGAAGAGGGCGATCTTGAGGCGAAAGTCCCGGAAGATTGAGGGCACTCGATAGTGTCATCGCGTCGTCCACATATTCCATGATGATGAAAGGGCCAAGGCGTCCAGGGCATTCGTCTATCATGCCATGGTGTAATACAAGAGGGATCGGTATCGTCGTATTTTCCGAAATGTATTTCATTACAGCAACCTCATTGCGGACCTTCTCTTCAGGAAATATGTGGATTCCTGGGCATGGAATTCGAATGATGGCGGACCCTCCGTCGCCAAATTGCATGCGGATGGTAACATTGTAAGCTCCACGTTGTGGCGCAAACAGTTCTTTGGGAACACCACCACGGTGTTTTTTGATCAGATTTCCGATGGCTCGCATGGTATCTTCCTCATACAGCTTCGTTTTCCATGTGTCGAAAATGGCATCACTGCGCTCCCATGCCTCGTCGTCGAATTTCATGCGTGGTTCCATCGTGTAGGAGCAATGGGTGGATGAGCTCGTAATTTCTAGAGAAAGAAGGAGAAATATCTAGAATTGATATCAGGGAATGTATACGAGGAGACCGAACGACAAGAGTATTGATTCTAAGCCTCCGATTATATGCGCTTTCAGACCAGAGAGCTGTGAAGGGGTGACGTGTAGCTAGCTCGCGCGCGCGAACTGCGGCACAGCGAAGATGACTTAGAGGAGGGATGATCGGAATTCCGCTGGTGACGCTGAGGCGTAGGCTTTATTTGCAGCGGTTCGGTGTGAGTTTCGCTCATCGAATGGAAAGAGATTTGATGTTTTCCTTGCATCTATTATATGCAAAAATCGGGGCCTTTCTTAGCACTGCCCTCAGGAATTTTTTTCCCCCACTAAAATTGTATGAGGGATTGAAATTTCAACAGGATCCACTATATATTAATAAAAACCTAATAGAACTGCCCTAGGTAAGTTAAAGCTTTTATCTTGTATAAAGGAGCGCGTATACTAACTTTTTTAAGAGTAACAACGCGTTAGGTCACAATGTATCACGCCCATAGCATCTCTAGCCTTCCTTGTTAGCCCTAACAACCCTAGTATATTAAACTAAGTAGTTAAGGGCTTAATAATTGCGTTTATATAAACATCTGTTAGTTTCTCCTACTTAGGTAGTCTAGAATTACTATTGCTAACTGTAAAAGCTGCTCTCTTTATGCAGTTTAAAATGTAGAGGATAACCTAAAGAACTATAGCAGCGTCTGTAAACCACTAACTATAAAGCTTAGAAGACCTGCTAAGATTAGCAATAAGGATAGAGAAGCTTTATTTAAGGAATTAGTCTGCAGTAGATAGAGATACTAGGATAAACAAGCGTATTAGTTATAGATAAAGCAAGGCGTACGCGTCTCTTAATCTACTATTTCTTATTACCTTAAAGATTATAAATAAAGTAGGCGTGTATTACAGCCCTTCTTACTTAGCTGTAATAAAGAGCTTTAAGAGCTTTATTATTAATCTCTTTGTTATTTTATGTAAGACAATTTAGTGTTTCTTAACAAGTTAATTTTTAACAAGAAGACTAGCTAGCGGCATAAGGCTTATAGGCCTGTAGGCTATAAGAGTTAATATACTTAGGATATACAGCGTGGGAAAACATAGGCTATCCTCCTAGCCTATACAGTAAACAGTTACCTGCCCTGTATAGGAATAAAGAAAGGTTATTTTAACTATAAAGAGTTTATTAATTAGATTAAGCAGTACCTTCTTTTTACACTTTAAGCAACTTATAGGACCTAGCTTATAGTTATAATCTTTAATAACGTCTTAATTTATTAGAATAAAGCTGTTATAACTATTCTTAAAGCTGCTAGCTATATTGTCTGCTTCCTTTTACTGTACTTGCCTAACTATAATCCTATTAAGTTAACCTTTAGGGTATTAAAGGCCTAAATTAAGAGGAACTATTTATACTATTAGCAGCAGTATACAAGCTTTAGCCTGTTCCTTAAGAGCGTAATTAAAAGCAGTAAGTGTAATTCTTTTACTAGAAAACACTTTATATACGCTGCTAGTAGGCTATATATTAAGCTAGAGGAGCTTAATTATGTAAGGGCTAAAATCTGTGCTTAACAGGGTTGCAATAAGGATTCTAAGGATAATAAAGACTATAAGGAGGTTAGGCTATAGAACAATATAGACATTAAATTCTTAAAAAACCTATTTAGCTACTTAAAACCTTACCCTTATAAGAATCCTAAGTCTATTAAATTCCCTCCTTAGGACTTAATCTCTGCCCTGCTATTATATAGATATTTAATAGACCTTAAGCAGTTTAATATTTAGGTTTAAATTAACAAAGTTTTTTATAAAAATGTTATACTATCTTATCTTTTAACCTAAACAGCGCCCCTACTACTACTATGTATAGTTTACTCTAGAGAATTAACATCTTTTTAAGATCCTTTAACATCTATCTCTAATCTATTGCTACATCCTGTGCCTGTATATAGTCCTTATAATCCTTAAGCAGTTGCTGTTTAACAAGCTAGTTAAAAAACTCCTTTACTAACACCTGTAGATTATTCTTTCTGCTGCTAGCAATAGGGCTTAAGCTTAGTATAGGTATAGGTTGTTTAGGAGTCTCTAGGCAGAGAGTCTCTAGGCAGAGAGTACCTGCTAAGGGAGCAAGAAGCAGATAAGGCGCGTTTAAAGGCGCAAACAATAGGTTACTAGGACCTAATATATTATAATTAGTTAACTAAAGCTGTTGTTAAAGCTGCTGCTATTAAAAAGCTTGTTTTCTTATCTTTTAAGCCTTTTTTTATTCCTTAGCAGCTTTCTCTATAGCCTACAGTCTTTCTTAGATCTTATGCTTTTCTACAGCCTTTATTATCTTCCTAAGATTATCTTTACTGCTTAAGGATAATAAGAAGCTACAACACTTTTTTTTCTGCTTGTTATACAAGTTAACTCTTAGCTAGTTACCTATTAACATTTACTAGTATTATATAAGCTTTATTAGCAGCTAATTTACATATGCTTAGCCCTTAAAGATTCCTTAAGCCTACAACTCTAAATCTGCGTCTCTTACAGCGTAGTGCTTGTAGGTAGCCTAGTAAACATAGTAGAGGTGCTTAAAGTTGTTACAGGTTAGAACATAGCACTTCTACATACAAGAGATCTAACTCTAGCTATTAATACTAGTAGTAAGATCCTAGATTCTCTAGCAGGTATAATTTTTATTTAACAGCTGCTGTGTTTGCTAAGGTAACTTTTCTCTAGAAGCTAGAGTAATAGGAGGATTAGATAAAGGCTTATTTACTAACTAGTTATATAGAAAGGCCTTTATTATTACTTTACATATAAGCTTTACTTCTACCTTAATATCTACCTTATTTGCGCCTTTAACGCGCTTTATATAGTTCTTAACACTAGTAAGTAACCTCTACTTCTCTCTTAGCCTAAAGTCCTCTATTATTTAAAGCTGCTAGCTGGCTCTGCGCTTATTAGCTCTATATTAAACTGTGTGTAAGGTAACACAGAAATTTTAACCCTTTACATGCTCTTGTACTAATAGGCCCTTAATTATAGTGTTAACCTAATCCTTTACCTATAAAAGCAAGAAAAACGCCTGTAGAACACCTTTATCTACTAGCTTACTATTAGCCTTATTACTATTTATATGTATTAGATATTGTACAGCAACGTTAAACTCTATTACCTGCTTAGAGGGAGAAGACTCTCTAGCAGCCGCAGAAGCAAAAGCAGGCTAAGATAAGATAAAAGTTAGAGGCAAGCTCCTTAGCAGTAAAAAAAGCTTATTACTAAGTATATTAGATAAGGTATTAGGCTTAGGACAACAGACAGGAACTATAGAAACAACTTCTTGCTATGCTAGAGCAGAAAGAGCAGATTTTTTAGTAGCTTTTACTGCTTTCTTAGAGGAAAGCTTACTCTTTATAGGCGCTAGGATATAGTAAGCTTCTCCTACTTACTTCTATTACTAGATTAACTTACAACGCGCTAGCTTCTGTTTATTACTACTAGTAGGCTTCTTAGGCTTCTCTAACAGGCCTTGCGCCCTTGCCTGTGTAGAATAGGCTAGTGGGTTGCTCTCTAGGTTAATCTAATCTATCTAGGGGGCTAGGGCTGCTCTAGCTCTCTAATTTAGGCCTATTATTATCCTGTTACTCTAAAAAAAAGCGCTAAGAACAGTATTTTTATATAAACTTAAAGCTTTAACCTACTAACAATGTTCCTAGGAAGAATTTGTTAATATATCTAGAATTCTATTAAAATTTTGTTACCCTATACAATTTTAGTGAGGGAAAAAAAGATCTGAGGAACGCTAAGAAATGCCCTGATTTTTGCATACAATAGATACCCTGATTCGCTACCGTATGTTGACTAATCGTAACCAGTTCGTTCATCCAATCGCTGCCCTAACCAATCACGTTATGGAGATTTGATATACGATCTAGCCTAGATACTTATATAAAGGTATCTACCTAGATTACTAAGCTATCTTTAGTATATAGACTAGATAACTCTTTAAGTAGTTAAATAGTTATAGTTAATCTTACTATAGCTTTTATATAGTATACTTAAATTAATCTCTTTAGCCTTCTCTATTATTTACCTTTTACTTATAAGTAAGATTTCTATATATTATATTACCTACTACCTATTCTACTTTAGAATATCTTATAGCTTTTATCTAGTTCTCTTATTCTATATACCTATAGAATAAACTAAGAGGTATAGCTTTTAAGGCCTAGTTAAACCTCGACTCTACCTCTAATAGATAAGAAATTAACCTAATCTCCTATCTTTAGATTAATCTATAATCTATTATCTAGAACCTTAATTCTAGAAAGTAGAAGAAGATCTACTCTATAGTCTATCTTCTTATTCTCCTCTAGTTAGTACTATAAACGTTTCTCTTCCTCTACCTAGTAATATAGAATAAATTCCTTCTATTTCTATAAGTAGATAACCTTTACCTAAGCCTCTACTATAGTAGCTATCTTAGCTTTATACTTCTTATCTACTTTTACTAGCTTAGTATTAAGATAATCTATCTTCTTATCTAAGTACTCTACTTTATAGAGTTAGTTTTATTATTATACTAACTATATAAAAGAATCTATAAACGATAAATATATCTACTAATATATTATAAGTCTTATAGTTCTACTAAATATAAGCTTTATATAATCTCTTTCTAGGTATTTTATTCTTAGATATCTAGTAAATTAGCCTAAACTAAATATACTAAGAATAAGGTATTAAAATAACCCTATTAATAAGAATCTAATCTACTTATCTATAATAATCTCTAGTACTTTAAGTAGAAGGTATAGAGTAGAGGTATTAGAAGTAGGGTTAAGGTTTAACTAGGCTTTAAAAGCTATATCTCTTAGTTTATTCTATAATAGGTAGTGTAACGGCGCAGGCAAGACAATGGGTCCGAATACGGTGGGAGTCCACTCAGA